GGGGGAAGATGTCAGTTTGTTTCTGATTCAGATTGGTTCACTTTGAGTTAATTGTTTGAGTACTTGCCTTTCTGGGTATGTTTAGCAAGGTGGAGCAGAAAAGGAGACAAATGCTCCTGGAGCATACCCTCTTCCATTAAGAGGGGTAATACTCTAAGATTTATATTTAGTTATATTTACTTTTGATTGACTTCAGATTAGTTTAGTTTTAATAATTTGCTTGCATGTAAATATTTGTTGGATCATTTATTGTTTGCTAGGTTTGTGTAAGTAGTGTTTGTTTGTTGTTTGTCTTTTCTTTTTGATCACCCCTTTACCTGGTTAAGTGTTGGAACTTGCCTCAGGTATAAATGTCAGCTTCTTTGTTTCACTACAAAAAAAAGGGGTGTCGGTGTTATGAAGACTTGGAGCTCCCAAATAAATCCACCTCAAAGACATTTGTTGCCTCACTTCCTTCTTTAACGCAGAGCCTCTGCCGGTCAAAGTGACAACGTTCATTTTTATAGATGGTGATTTTCCTTTGGTTGGCATTTGGCTGGCTTGTACTTGTATAGCGCCTTATCAAGTCCAGAGGACAAAAAAGTGCTTCATACAACAGTCATTCACCTATTCATGCACACAATCACGCTGATGGTGGAAAGCTACTGGATAGTAGCCACAGCTGTCCTGGGGCAGTCTGACAGAAGAAATTTGTGTGTATAATACGCCACCGTACATTTCTTGTGCGTACGCATGTTTTATACAGGCCCCAGATGAGAAACAAAGTTACTGATATTTATCAGTCTGGAAAAGGTAGAAAGGAATTTACAAGAAATTGGAACTCCAGTGAACCACAGTGTCATCCATAAGATGGAGTAAAACACTAAGCAGTTAATGGCTGGGCTGCTGTAATGGCTGTTATGACTGTTTGCTGTAAATTTGTTGCAACTGCCACAAAACGATGTAAAAATAAATTGGTTGAAAGGGGAAGGAAGGGACAGACCTTTATGATTATTGTCATCGGTGAAGATGTTAATTGATAAAGCAAATACATTTATACATTTTTAAGTTTTTATTAAAGTAAGTAAATTTAGAAGTATTTTAGATTTCTAGTCATTTTTTTCCCTTTTTTTTCTCTTCAAGAAGTCATTAGATGAAGACCTTAAGGCCTATTATATCATTTAGTATTAATAAATTAAGTTATCAAAGTTCTGATCCCACTCATAATAATAATAATTATTATTATTATTAGGTTTTGTCTTTTATGAGTGTGAGTGTGTATTTGTGTTCTGCTTCTCTATTGAACTGGTCCTACTTAGTACATAAAGTTTTCCCTGGCATTAAATTGTATGCATGCACTTGCATTTTGCATTGACCTCACATTGTAATAATGAATTTTATTAACGGCACGGATATTATTCACTTGAACATTAGGAGTCTTATATTTAAAATTGACTTATTGAGAGCTTGATTTACTTATAATAAACCCTTTCTAAAACTTAGAGACATGTTAAAAATGTGTTGAACAAAAACATTTCCTTATTCTTTCTGCTGATTATACCAACACAATCTCAGAACTGATTTAAATTAAATGTTGAGCAATTCATCTTTCCAAATGAAGACACAATAGGCAGTGTTGTGGGGCTGTATATCGTGTCTTGGAACAGAACTGGCAATCTGGATTGAAGGACCTAGCCTCTAAATTAGGGCAACCCTGTGGTGATCCAAAGAGCGAGCATTGTTCTGCTCAGGGTCACTTCAACCTGACCCACATGAAACACATGTTGACCATGATTAGTTTGTGTCTGATGCCCAATGCTGATACAATGTTTCTTCTGTCATTACTTGTGAAGATAATTGAAATTTATTTTTGACCCATAAGTCATCATGTTGACATTAGAAACCAGTAGGTTTCTAATGTCAACATTGGTTGAGAAAATACAAAAATTATTATTTTAACCCTGACCTGATTGTTTATCAATTTAGACAAAAATGATTTTCCATAGACATGTAACACATTTCCAAGACATTTTACAACAATAGATCTACCAGAGTAACTTTGAAGAGCAACTGTAAGGTTCCCTTAGAACATCAGAAGCACTTTTGCTCAAAGTGCTTTTTCTGTGAGAAGACTGGAGTTTGAAACTCACTTCCTGTGAATTTAAAATCTACAGGGTGGGCCATAAGTTTCCATACATAGAAAAAAATAAATATTTTATATTGGACAACCGTTTTTATTTTTGTAGGACTCTGTGTAATTGCTGCACATCTTGGACCACTTCATGATAGTTTTCTGAAACTTGCAAATATGTTTTGCCACAGTGTTGTGTGTGATGCTCGTTCCATGTTTTCTGTTAAAGTTTCATGCGACCATGCGACTGCTTCCCAATCCAGCTATCAGTATAATTTCAGTTCTTTGCTCTCTTGTCAAATGCATCTTCTTGGGTATCTGAAATATAAAAGAAATATACATTTTACATTCTCCTATGTATGGAAACTTATGGCCCACCCTGTATAACCAGTGTGTTCAGTGTGTTCAAAAAACAAAACTCAGGCTATGTCAAAAACTGAACTGCATCCATCTGTTTCTTTTTTATTGTCGTTTTACTTTTTTTTTAACTTGTATATGATTTTGCATATGTTGTCTATCATGTTTTATTTTAAATTATTATTACCATGTCACTTCCTAAGTGCTTACTGAATCTGCATTTCCTCCCTGTGCATGTATGTCTTCCTCCAACAGTCCAAAAAACATGACTGTCAGGTTGATTGGTCTCGCTGCATTCTACTTGTGGGTGTATGTGTGTATCACCATTTACTGCTGGAGATAGGCACCAGCACCCCTTGCGACATCACCAGGCATATGCGTGGGGGTTAATGGATGGATGTTTAGAAAAGCCCATGTGGGGGCAAGTGCTGCAAATTAGCTTATGCTACTCACTATGGGATTGCTGTTTTATTCAGTTTGACTGTGTCCCTATCTATGGAGCCCCTTAGGAAACACGGGGAAAAATTTTTCTGCTGCCTTCCCTTGCAATACTTTTGCGTTACTTCACAATAAATTTTGTGTTCCCTGGCAATATGCTTATACTGCAATATTTGCTGGTCTATTTTGTATACAGTCACAAATGTCAATTTAAAATTTAAAATATACACACATTTAAAGAGCCTCAGTGAAAACATGTTTATTATTATTTATAATAATTATTATCATAGTGCACAAAACTGATTGAAAATTGATTTATTCATTGCATGTTTGTCTGTTTGTGTAAGGTTGAGATGGAACTGCACATGAAAATGGCCCTTTAAATCATTCAGAGTACCAACACAAAAGAGACACAGTCAAAATTGTCAGATGACTGATTACACCGTGATAATAATTCAGAAATAGTCCAAATAGTTTGGATGTACTTTTTCTTCCTTTCCTACTTACAGAAAGTTTTGGTTTTTATGATAGGTTTGTGGTGCATTTCCATGCTAAAGAAAAAGATTTTTTTTAAAAAACTTCAGATATTCCACAATAAGATATTAACATACTTGGAAAAACCTTACGAAAACCTTATATAATAGCAGAAAGTAGGATGGCCACTGTAAGATAGGCTTACAGTATTCAATTATGTTGCATGAACTGATTCAAGGATTCAAGGATTTTCTATTGTCATACCAACTAGCTAGCTCATGGTACGAAATGTGGACTCAGGTCCCAGATCAAGAAATCCACCAATCAGAAAAATAAATAAACAATAAATTAATTTAAGTGATATATATATAAGGTGATGTGTCTGTGTGTAAATAATCTAGGGGAGAAAGCTGCATTTGGTGCAGCCCGAGTTCATAATTCTACAGCTGAGGTGGATCTGGTCAACAGACTGGACTGCACGTAACAGTAAAGCTGACTATAAGAAGGGACAGAGCAGACTGACTGGACTTCTTGTCATCTGTTGAGGCAGCAGCATCAGAGCCAGGGAGCTACAAAGCCTTAACAACTTGATAAAGAAGGCTGGTTCTGTTTAGTTCTGTTCTTGGGACGACTGTGGAACCTCTGGAGATCATGATGCAAAAAAGGATTCTTCAAGAAAATTATGGACAACCCTGACCATCCTCTTCATGAGAATCACTTGGGAAAACGGTGTCTTCAGCCAGAAGCTTCTTCATATTTGCTGTAATACAGGCCACTACAGGAGATCTTTCCTCCCTAAAGCCATCACTACCTACAATAATTATTTAATTAAATGAGTTGCAACATTTAAATTTCTTTATGCAAAAATGCAAGTGCATGCATACAATTTATTTCCTTATATCAATAAAGTATTTTTTAATTGAACTGAATTGATCCAGCAGAAATATCAGTTGTGACTGAGGGAAACGGAAACTTGTGTAAAATCTGAACCAAAGATTTTTTTTTTTGATTGCCAATGATTGGGTAGCATTGTGAAAAAAAAATTGTTCAAGAGATTTGTATCTTTACAACTATTTTACTTACTAAAATGTGACATAGTTAAAGCTGCGTGAAATTTAGGATGTATGATTATTTATTATGTTTATTTGTTGAGCATGTAGTTTATTAAATAAAGGTTGGTCTGACCTTGTATTGCATTTCTATGTAACTTTTCAGGTCAGTAATAGTAAATTACCTTTATTAAAAAATAGGAAAAATTATTAACTACATTAACAATGAAGAATAAGGAATACTATTACTCAGATTTTTAAGGCAATTAGTTTTGAAATATTACCAGAAATGTTAGGTAGATTTTTACCAAATTCAGTTTCAGAGTGTTTCAGAGCTGTTGGCATTAGATACTCTTTACAAAAATGTTTTGGTTAAATTTACCCAAGCAGATTGTTTGCAAATTGTTAGCTCAACTTTTTGGGGGTAAATACTATAAGTTGTATTTTACAGTGTAGAAACTCCTCCTTACCTTCAAACCTGTCGGCAACCCTCAGTCCTCCATATTTTTTGGATCTTCTTCACATTGTTACACCTACCCCCACCCACAGATCCTCTTCTTCTATCATCTCATTCATTTTTGTAGTTATTTTTATTGTGTCTTTTATATTGTGTTTTTATGTTAAATGGTGTAAGGTGACCTTGGGTGTTAGAAAACTTGCCAATAAAATGTATTGTTATTTATTATCATTTTAGTTGAGCATAGTGAAGATGAATTAGAATTAACATGACAAAGATGATGAGCTGCTAGGTGAAAGTGGCAGACATATTTTCTCTCAAATAGAGTAAAAAAACTATATCATTTACTCTATTTCACATTTTTTTCTGTTTCTGCTACAGGATTTATGTCCACCAGAACATGTAGAGCAACAAGCTGCAAAGTCATACAGATCAATAAAGGCATCATCAACCGCTCAGCATGGCATCTTCCCCTGGGTTAAGTCTGGACCCTTTACCCATGCTTCAACTCCATGACGGGGACTACAGCAAAGCTTCAGAGAGGCCGACCTCACCAGGGCTTCTCCCTACTATGTACAGTCCTCCAATGGGCATAGAGGGCCACACCGTTTGCATCCCCTCTCCTTACACAGATAGTAGACATGACTACCACGGACATCTACCCTTGACTTTCTACAGTCCTTCGGTGCTGAGCTATACCAGAGCACCCATCGCTGACAGTCCATCATCCATGTGTCCCCCTCTGAGTCCCTCTGCCTTTTGGCCCTCTCACAACCACCACAGCATACCTTCTTTGACTCTGCACTGCACCCAACCTCTTGTCTACAATGAACCAAACCCACAAGGACCCTGGCTTGAGTCAAAATCCCATGGCATGAACCCAAACAGGTAGGACTGCAGATACTCACCTATGGATGAAAAAAATACACTGATTAATGGTGTAATGTTACATGGATTTGTTTTTGAAAGTCTTTGACACAAATGCTGTGTTCTCTTAAACCTAAACCCATAAAGAACCTAAACGTCCAAAAATAAAGTGAATAATTCTGCATTCTGCTGTACAACTTTAAAAAGTGACACTAAAACAAAGCAGATAGGACTCCCAGCTAGCACTAATGTCTGCTGTTGTGGCTTTAAGGCTTCTCATTCAATTTCAGACAGGTTAGAGAAAGAAAGACAGACCAAACCAACCGAGTTCAGTTTATTGCCGCTTCAGTGCACTTGACAAAAAAAAGAAGTCAGCCTACTGACGGACTCAAAATAAATTCTGATTTGATCCAAAATCTCAAACAACGCAGTTCACTTGGTGCTCACATAGTGTCATTAAATGAGCTACAATCCTTCATACAGAACATACATGTAGTAACAGTAGAAAGGAAAACTCATCTTCAACCAGAAGAACCCTCCAGCTGAACCAGGATCTGCCATGACTGACTGAATTACAAGAGGTAATGAAGACGTTTAGGGTCTGGTCTCCTTTTAGTGTGGATGAAACTTATCAGCATTAACTTAGCCTTTGTCAGTTTTGCTTGTTACAAATAACTCAGTCTTCTGGAGAGAAATGTGGAGAACACAAATGTAGGGCCCTCGGAAGTTTGTGTTTGGTGCACTCATTTTTCATGTGGAAAGTGATCCAGACTCACCACACTGTTTATTTTTTTATTACAGCCAACAGTATTGCAGTGTGGCATTATCTAATATTACACCAGACAAATGCAACATGATAAACAACTCACGTAAAGTTAGCCTCCCTGTGTTTACTCTGTGGATTCCAGTACAGAGCAGACCCAACCGCGACATCAATCCAGCAGGTGAAAAAATGGCAACCTCCATAGGTGAAAAATATAACATACAGTAGGTGAAAAGCAACATCCAGGGACTTAGACGATAATCAGGCTGAGGTCATACACAGAAGGACAGAGAGAGCAAACTTAGCAGGAGGGGCAGGCACTATTCGGTGGTCGTGAGGCAGAGGTCGTGAAATCCAGAACAGATGGGCTTGGCAGAAGGGGATAAATCCATGGGCAGAAAGAGTTGTAAATACACTAAAGCCTTGGAAGCAAACACTGAATCTCTACTGGCTCGTGGCTGTTGATAATCTGGAAAGGAGGCAGAGGCTGAGAGGTGTTTAAGTAGGTCGGCACCCAGGTGAGACAGGTAAGCAATCAGGCGTAGCAGGTAAGCTGAATGAGTGGCAAAACTCAGCATGGACATGTCGTAGAACATGAATCATGACAAGTAGCAGCAGCTTCTTTAGCTCGCAGATTAGTGAGTAATCTGTGAGCTTCTTTAGACTCATGTTCAAGTCTAAAGGATAAAAGAGATCACATACTACTACTATTTGCAGTTAAAGTTTCCTCTGTTCCCATCTGGGAGAGAGATAGGGTTAAACACTGAGAGCCAAGAGTATTATTTATAAAAGGAGGAAATGATGGTGCTGGTAGCAGTGGCTTAAGGCCCTGGTCTAGGGCATTGATCTAGGTAATATGTGTCACAGTTAACCAAGAACACCAAACACGAATTAGCTTCTATGAGAACTAAAACCCAAGACGGCATTTTCTTTGGCTCCCTAAATATAATTACTAACCTGAAACAATGTCAAGCAAAATATAAGGATAACTGGTACAGAGAAAGTCAGCTATAGTCCAAACCCAGCTGCCTGAATAATTCAACTAGCCCCAAACACAATGGAAATATTCACAGGAGCAGCCATGAGGCCTCACAGCAGTACTGACGCTAGAAGAGCCCATCCATCAAGAGATCTTTCCCCAACTGCTTTGCTTCTGTGATGCATCCAAGAACAAGTCCGACACTGAATCGTAGGGCATAGAGAGCCACACTGTCTGCATCCCCTCTTCATTCACAGACAGCTGTTTGTGTATAAGTCCTAAAAAATGGCTTCAGCATATTCCATCCATCCATTTTCTTTACACCCTTGTCCCTTAGTGGGGTCGGGAGGGTTGCTGGTGCCCATCTCCAGCTAACTTTCCGGACGAGAGGCGGGGTACACCCTGGACAGGTCGCCAGGGTGTACCCCAGGGTTTATAGACATATTGTGCATTTTTGAGTGGTACAGGAGACTAAGTGGTCTGAAAAGCGACCACTGTGTTGCGGAATGGTTCGCTGGCCGGAAATATAGCCAGGAAAAACCCAGAAGCAGATGGAGCGTCCCGGTGGTCTGTCCTCTGAAGTAAGTAGGAGCTAACCCTAACCCTAATTAAGCGGCGGAGCAGGTGAGTGGCATGATGAGTGAAGATTATTGGTGGTGAGGGTCAATACAAACGATAAAATAAAACTAGCAACAGGATAGAAACTAAAGAGGACATAACAAGAAACCAAGAGAGGATAAAACTAACTAGAAAATTCCTGAAGAAATTTAACGGGGGGCTGCCAAAGTGTGCCCATAGGTTTGGACCCAACGTTCTGATGGTAAAAATAAGAATCAGTGCTAAGCTGAGCTAAATTGTATCCAGTAACCTGTGGAGAGTCAGAAGCATGTTCACTCAGCTGTACTTGTACCATTCAGTATGTTAAAAGTAATCATGTAAAATTAGCCAAAATGCTAAAGTTAGCATGAATGCTGTCTGTGGCATGTGGGGCATTAGAAGCATGTTGTCTGTCATTGACTTAGTCCATTCAGTATACTAAACATGGCTAATAAGTAAGAAAAGTGTTCTGATGCTAAAAGGTAGCATCAATGCAGAGCTGAGCTAAATTGTAGTCAGTAACCTGTGGAGTCAGAAGCATGTTCACAAAGTAAAAATTAATGAATCAGGTAAAATTAGCCAAAATGCTATTGTTAACATGAATGCTATCAGTAGCATGTGGGGCATCACTTGCATGTTGTCTGTGATTGACTTACTCCATTCAGTATACTAAACATGACTGTTAAGTAATAAAATTAGCTAATAGCTTATTTTAGGTAAAAGGCTAATGCTAATGCTCTGGCTTGCTGTACAAGCCAATGCCATAACCTGAGAGAGAATGATAATAAAGTTTAATATTATTGCACCGCCTATTGCGGTGCACTAACCTGGGCGGAATATTGAGGCTTTTGTTTTTAAATTTTAAGCTTCATTTGAAATGGCCACACTAATCCCATGTGTAATAGTGATTGGGTTAAATCAGTTATACAATGCTCAAAACACAGGTAGTTCTGAATACAGGTAAGTCCTCCTCTGTAGTAACTGAAGAGGACTCAGTTACTAGATAGTTCCGCCATGTTGTAGTTTTGACATGCTGCTCAGGCCTCTCTTTTAACTGAGTCTTCTCCATAGATAGAACTACAGAGATGGTGTGTTTGTAGTCCTAAACAGCTCCTCTGCCCTGCTCTGTGTTCTGTTGCTGTGGTAATTAATCCCCTGTCAAGTGCAGCTGTGAGTGACACAGAGGGGGAGAGAATTCTCTGTTTAATCCAGCCTGTTTCACCCTGGCTGCGTTGCTATGGTAATTAATGACCTGCACCTGGGCTGTGTCTCTGTGTCAGACAGAATGGTGGAGAAAGAGTTCCTATCTATGTGACACACTCAGCGTCAGTCTAAAGCAGTTTGACAGAGAACCATAAGCCCTATAAAAAGTTTGAAAACATTTTACGGGAGCAGGCATGTGTCATGACCAACTTTGAAACCAATAGGGCAATATTTGTGCCCGTGAGGGGGAGTTAAAAAGAGTTTTGGAGTCAGAAATCCACTGTGCCGTGTGTGTTTCAGACAGAAAGATTACTAATTCTGTGAGACACTCAGCCTTGATTTTTCACATTTTTCTCAGTTTATGTCGTAAAAATAATAGAAGGTAGAGTGCCTTCTCCGGGT